AGACATATAAACACGAATTCAGCCCAAAATCTTCCCCAAATAACAATAACTCATAAGATTGGTACAACAAGGGCAACACCAAAGATGCTAGTAATCACCACAGCATCAAAATCTGGTCTCTCTGTTGATTTACCCCACCAGAAACCACCACCACCAATTACTTTGTTCTGCCTTCTAAAATCACTACACTTGATTTCTTATATTCTCGACTGAAATCCAAACAAGGCCTATACCCAAACCCATCAGGCTGCTCCCAAAAGTCAACGCCATGAGAGAGCAATCTTGTCATTAACTCAAGATATCTCAAAAGGGCTTAACCATGGACTTTTAAGAGGATTTGTGTGATCTTTTTGCACAAAATGCAACTATCTTTCTACTTTCCTATTGGCCAGACCTCCTTATAATGCATTATGCATGAAATTTCTTCTTTCAACCTGCAGGTAATACATATACAAAGAGATATGGGAGAGGATATGTTGGATAAGTGAGCACTAAGCAACGAAAAGCAAAAGTAGTCAACAATAGTGTGCGAGAAGTGAGTGATGAGCTAAAAGGCAACATAAGCACTAATCGGAACAATCGATCAATTAATTAAAAATCTATAAGTAGCAAGAAATGTTCACAGAATCCAACTAACTGATATCTAAAAAAAAACAACAATTGATCAATTAGGATAGGAAGAACACGAGACTAACATAATACGAACTAACATATTCATAGTCCTTGTAATAACAGTGAGTTTAAGCATGCTTATGTAATAACTTGCTCAAAATAGCATTAGCTAAGTGAAATTTTGAATAGGTTATACATAAGAATTCTTGACACCATCGTCACAATTCATGAACGGAATAACTCCGATGCCCCTAGTGCTCTCCTATTTTAAAAGGTCTACCCACCATGCACAAATTAACACCTACAATTTCAGCTTAAGTCTAGGCACCTTAATCCTATACCTAGTTCGCTTAAACTAGCGCTCTGATACCAACTTGTAACACCCTAAAATATAAGGCAAAAAGGACTGAAATGTGTAACAAAAAAAATCGGAATTTTATAAAAAGAAATCACCCAACA